CACTTGTTATCAAACAGAATGTCAATGAGGGATGCTCTTTCTACTTATCTCTATGGGGGCTTGTTTGTGTTTCCTTCATATTTCAGCTTTTCATTTTATTTCCAGAGTAACTATCTCATTACCAAGTGGGCCCTCATCTGGATGTTAGCTGTGGATTATGAATGTTTTTAAATTTCCCAACTATGCTAACTAACCTAAGTTATACTGTTTATCTCTCTGCGACTGGTTTTGGCAACATTTGATAATGGCACCTTATAAAAAAAACTTAGTTAATGTTTTTATTTATTTTAAGTAATCTTAGAGAGAGAAAATATTTTCTTCGTGATTTCATATGTTACTTTTAACAATTGTTTCTATAATTCAAAGTAAAATCAGTCAGATGACTGAAGATACTTGTCTCATTATGATTAATAAACTGCCAAACCTTTGAAAATATTCGTTTTAGCAAAATTGACATGTAGGAACATCTTCACTTTTGATGATGTTGTCATGCTTTGGGTTCTCTGGATTATCAGACTTAAAGAAAAATTTTCAAACAAATGATGCAACCTTTGAGTATTTGTACAAACATTCTAATAAATTCACATTCAAAGGGACTTTGTATACTAGAGTGTGGGCTGACCTTCACTATCTTCACCATGTAAAGTCTGCATACATCCAGAGTATAGTCTCTTCTTACTATCTTCACAATGTGAGGTCTGCATACATCCATGATGTGGTCTGTTCTTCATTGTCTTCACCATGTGAACTCTGCATACATCCATATTGTGGTCTGTTCTTCATTGTCTTCACCATGTGAGGTCTGCATACATCCATGATATGGTCTGTTCTTCATTGTCTTCACCATGTGAGGTCTGCATACATCCATGATGTGGTCTGTTCTTCATTGTCTTCACCACACAAGGACTTACAATAAAACATGAGAAGACAATACAAGCACAGGCACTTCCAATAGATAATGAGGAGAAAATAGAAGCACAAGGACCTCCAATACAAAAAGGGAAGACATTACTAGCACAGGCACCTCCACTAAACAATGAGGTGATATTATTCTTGTGACCTTGGTTAGCACTGGCTGGTTTTCGACGTTACACATTGATCCACCAGCTACAACATTACTGATATCTCGAGCACTCAGATGGCGCCCACCAAAAGTTGTGTCTTGTGCAGTCCACACTCCTCTTGTTGAAGATCCACTGAAGGCATCATTGTCCCCAGAATCTATTACATGGAGAGAGAATTCTCAAAACAATAATATATGTGAAACTGAAGTACATGTTGTTAACACACAAAAAATTAAACTTGTTACAAAATTTTTATTTTTAAGTATTCTGATCTAGTAAGATCATTACACAATAGTCTACCAATGTATCCTTAAATTGAAAAAAAATTGGTTATCACTCTTTAAGACGCATTTATATAATTTTATTGTGTTATAAATTGAGCCCCATATCTAGATAGTTTAAAGTAAATCACATTTAACATACAACAAGGAATTAAGTCAGATGTTATTAATTATCTTGCAGAATGTTCAAAAATATATTTTTATTTGATATATAATGTAAGTATAGTTAGTTTCAAAATATGAGGCTGTGGCAAATTTAGTAATTTTGGGCACATAAACTCATTATTCAGGCAAACTTAAATGCTTAAAAATTACTTGTTCATGAGTTAATATCATTTTTAAAGAATTCAGCACCCCTATAATTAATTTATCACAGCCAAAACAAGGTTGGAATATGTCTGTCAGAGGCTAATAAAAAATATGAAACTTAATAAGAGGACAAGAAATCCTAATCATAGAAACAAGAACTTATTGTTGACAGGAAAGATTCTAGAAAAATGTAAGCAGCATTCAGTTGTAGAAGTGTCACAGAATATCACATGGTAAAAATAGTGAAGAATTGACCACACTATGAATGTATGCAGGATTCACATAGTGGAGATAATGAAGGACAGACCACATAATGGATGTATGCAGACTTCACATGGTGAAGATTGTGAAGAACAGACCATACTCTGGATGTATGCAAACCTTACATAGAAGATAGCGAAGGACAAACCACACCATGGATGTATGCAGACCTCACATGGTGAAGACAATGAACAGACCACATCATGGATGTATGCAGACCTCACATAGATAATGAGGAGACAATATAAGCATAAGCACCTCCAACACAAAAAGGGAAGACATTACACACACACAGGCACTTCCAATAAATAATGAGGAGAGAATAAAAGCACAAGGACTTCCAATAGATAATGAGGAGACAATAGAAACACAAGGGCCTCCAATACAAAAAGGGAAAACATTACAAGCACAGGCATTTCCAATAGATAATGAGGAGACAATAGAAGCACAAGGACTTACAATAAAACATGAGAAGACAATACAAGCACCGGCACTTCCAATAGATAATGAGGAGACAATAGAAGCACAAGGACATTCAACACAAAAAGGGAAAACATTACAAGCACAGGCATTTCCAATAGATAATGAGGAGACAATAGAATTTGGAAGTGCTTGTGCTCATAATGTCTACTCATTTTTTAATTGGAAGTCCTTGTGCTTTTATTCTCTCCTCACTATCTATTGGAAGTGCCTGTGTGTGTAATGTCTTCCCTTATTGTATTGGAGGTCCTTATGCTTATATTGTCTCCTCATTATCTATTGGAAGTGCTTATGCTCATAATATATACTCATTTTTTATTGGAAGTCCTTGTGCTTTTATTCTCTCCTCACTATTTATTGGAAGTGCCTGTGCTTTTAATGTCTTCCCTTTATGTATTGGAGGTCCTTGTGCTTCTATTGTCTCCTCATTATCTATTGGAAGTGCCTGTGCTTGTAATGTCTTCTTATATTTTATTGATACTTGTGATTCTAATGTTTCCTCGCTATCTGTTCAAAGTGCCTGTGCTTTTAAAGTCTTCTCACTGTTTTAAGGAGGTTCTTCTGTTTGTAATGTCTCCTCACTGTTTATTAGAAGTCTCTGTATGTTTGTTAAAATTATAATTATGCTCAAAAATTGTTAGAATTTCATAATTTTTTCTTCCACATTTCATAAAGTCTGTAATCATGGATGATTATTACCCTATTAATATTTCTAATTTTGTCGTTGTGTATAGTTTTTACACAATGTCTTTACATATTTGTCTTACTGCCATCCACTAATCACTGCTCTATTCACCCGTTACTAAAACATGAAAATTTTATTCTCAGTTATCCAATATACTTTTGTTCAGTTCAGAACTTACTGTAAAGCTAAATCTGCTAGTCTGCACTGCACTTCCTGATCTTCAAGTAAAAAAATTTTGCAGCAACTGTTAATCATTTATATTTGTCATATGACAAAAGTATTAGGCTTACTATATTTTTAAGTAATACGATCTTTATTTGGTCGCTTTGAATTTTCTGAGAGGAAGTGTTTATGATAGTGCTTCAACTATGGTGTACACAGTGTGCTTGAAATACTAGTATACACTCTTCTTCTATGAAAAATCTTAAGGGATTGAATAATGAGAGCATTATTTAGAAATACAGTATGCCTATTACTATCATATTATGACAAATATAAGTGATTATAATCGTGCTTTTCTAGTTTAAAGGCATTCACACCGTAACATCAATTACACAGGCCCGTGAGTTTAAACCTCATAAAAGTTGTTTTAGTTTTAATAACAGATTTTCCATAATTCAGCTACACAGATTTCAGAAAATAATATCCTTTTTGTCCTATCATGTAAGGATTTTTTACAAATTGTGAAGAAAAAAGAACTTACTTTGATCAAATTATTATTTTATTTACCACAATGAAC